ACACTGCCAGGTTACTGGAAGAGGGGCAGGACCACCTTTACCAGCAAGTTAAGAAGAAAAGATTCTCCCCATATGCCAGAGAATGAGCCTCTTGACAGGCCCTTGAGAAAGACGCTTTGGCTCAGTGAGCCATATGAATTCCAATTTTCTAGTGGCTTGAACATAACCAGAACTCCCTGGCTGGTTGCCCTATGAAAATTAATTTATGTAGCACTATTCTGTTCCTTAGAGAAAGTTCCTTAAATAGCAATGAAGGGAACTTCTGGATTCCAGGGAGGCATCTAGGCTGCAATTCTTCACAGAGAAGAAAGGAAGCTGCTCCCATGGCCTCATGCTGCCTACTGTCCCTCAGAGAGTTCGGGAGGGGAGCCCCCAAGGCCTGAAAGCCATGCAAGAAAAACAAAGCCTCTAGTCTCACCCTGAGAGGCCCCACTGAAGGAGAGTCTCTGAACACATCTGCCATGATTCATTCTCAGCCTCTAGTGTTCCTGAACAAGCAGACAAAAGAGGCAGGAAATAGAACCGCAGCATGGGAACAGTACATAAAGGAGTTCCATGCTTTGTACACACAAGTTGTCTTTAGGTCAGATAAGCCCCTACTTCTGGAAGCTAGCTGATTCTTCTACCACAGGGAAGAACCAGAGAACACTACAAGATCTGCTCCAGGCGGTTCCCGTGTACACATCGGCTCTAGGCAGAGATGGGATGGGGGAGGGAGGCCCTGCAACCTCCCTGCCTCCAGCTCCCACCCCGGGATGCCTGCATTTATTCACAAAACAGTGCCAACCCCAATTCCCCCTCACCCAGCAGGCACTCCATTTGTATGTGAGCACCCCTCAGTGAAAAAGACCAGGTGCCACCTCTCTTCAAAGCTACATATTAAAGTGTTGCTCTGGACTCCTGCCTTCATCATGAAGTAAAAATTAGACTGCATATAGGTATGTTTCTGTGAAGTAATTGCAGTCATTTAAATCTTTGTTAAACCATGAGGTATTTGTCTTTTGCCAGTTGTGCCTAATTTTAAACGGAACTTAACATTACCCTGTTCCCTGATAGTGAAAAGATTTAGATGCCTCCCAGCATTCCTTGCATGGGAACCTTGACCTTTTGCATATTTTGAAGTAGTGCCTACAAAGGCTACCTTTTTCATGCAGATTTAGACTGCCAACTCACAAGGGCAGGTCCTCCACTATGAAAAAATGACACTAGGGGACCCAGGGAAATTGGCCTCTGGAAAAAATAAAATAGATATTTAGTTAATAAATATGGCTTTCTTCCCTACCTCAGAGGCAGCCTCCACCTCAAAATGTGTTCTTCTCCCAACAGCTGAATGTCTCCTTTTCTCTCTTACTCAGCCAAGCTCAAATGATGGAGAAAATTAGTTTCTCTCCAACAGCCACCCCACTGTGACACCCCTCAGGCACACTTGTGCCTTCTGAGGCTACTGCTGATCCCATCACAAGGGGTGATTCTGCATTCATGCTCTTGGGCCAGGAGTGGGCAACACATGTGCTGAGAAGGATCTCCCTCATAAGAGTACAGAGCCCTGCAGAGAATTACAGAGCGTCTACCAGAGCAGGACAGGGCAGTCACAGGGACGGGATGGGAGTCCAAGGGACAGCAAGCCTTGGTGAGTAGGTCATACACCAGGAAGAGCCATCTCTGCCCAGAACATTCCTACCCCTTACTTAGCAAGGTTCCCATGCCCATGTAGTCTGGAGCTGCTCCTGAATGAAGTTGCATGGTGATAGTGCCCTATGACATATGAGCTTTAGAAGATCCACACCTTGCCAAGTTACCACCTGTACTAAAACAATTTTGCATCACATTCTTTAAGGACCCATAATTCAGACTCTCATAAATCATAAGGAATTTCATAGGCTAATGTGCATAGCCTTAAGGCAGGGGATCGAATGGCAAGACCTGTCTAGGACACAAACAGAATGCAGAGACTGAGGACTGCAGAGAAGATGCCAGCCATAGAATTCCTAGAAAATCCTCGATATCCAAATCCATGATTGAGAAGAATCTCATGTGAACTGCAAATGTAGTTCATTTGACCCAACGCATAAGAAATGAAAGATGACTTTGGTGTCTTCTAAATGGTCTCCTGCCTCCATCTAATCCATTCTCCTTCACTCAGCTGGGTGCTGTCATCTTGCTGTAAAGTCTTCAGGTTTTGAAGTGCAGTGTCTTATATTTGCTTGTGATTCAGAACCCACCATGACCTGACTCCTCGTACTTCTTCAGGCTCCCCTCTTGGTCTGGTTCATGGCCCAGCCTCTGTTCAGACTGGTTCAATGCTTGCACACCTAAAATAGCTTTTTGTCACTGTGACAAAATACCCGAGAAAAGCAACTAAATGGAGGAAAGGCTGGTTTGGGCTATCATTTCAGAATTTCAGTCCATGGCTGGCTGGCTCGATTGTTCTGGGCCTATGGTATGCTAAAGCAGAGCTACTCATTTCAGGGAAGACAAAAGGGGGTGCAGGAACGAGACACAGTCCCTGGGGTCACACCTCCATGACCTGCTGTCTAGGCCCCACCTCCTAATATTCCATTGGGCTATGAATTAATGAATGGATTAATCCATTGCAGAATGTAGCACCCTCATGATCCTATCACTTCTCAAAATCCCAACAGCTGGGCTTTGGGGAACATTTTTTATCCAAACCATAAAAATGCCCTTTCAATACTGCACATACTGCCCTCCACCCAGTGCACACCTTGTCAGCTTCCAAGATTTTGTCCAGCATGATTTCCAAGGCAAGTGTTGCTTCCTCATACTGCCTCCTCCTCCATCAAATTGACCACCCTTCCTCTGTGCCCCAGCCTGCCCTAGACAGACTTGAATCATGGCTTTACTATATTTGAATGCTGTGTTGTCCATTCTTGGGACCTAAGATTATGTCTTCTAAAAATTAATTGTGTCTGGCCTTCTGGACCTTTTCTATATCAAAGAATACACAGAAAATGCTCATGGTGTTATATATATATATATATATATATATATATATATATATACACACACACACACACACACACACATATATATATATATCCACCAAATATATATATTGTGTGTATATATATATATATATATATATGTGACACAACATTGCTTGTGAAGGAGGTCAATATCTTGTCACATCTTTAATCACCCATGTGAAGCCTGAACACACCAGGTTAGAACCTGTTCATAAAAAACCCTCAGTTAGAGTTGGTTGAAAGAGTGAGTCAATTAGTTTGTCTCTAGGATTAAGAGATTTCTGGAATCAGGCAAATAAGGATCTTAGAAATCAATGAAAGGAATAATCACAGAGAACAAATAATTAAGACTGAATATGACACCAATAGAAGGATAAGTTAGTGGATTTCTGATCCAGGTGGTAAAGGCCCCCTTAACCAGCATGGCCCTAGACTTCATCCCAATTTGACCTTCTATCACTGCTCTTCAGGCACCTAGGCTGCAAACTGCTGCTGCCCCACAGGATCCTCACAGGCCTCTCTTCGCAGCACACAGCCTCTCACTGATGCCATCCTCTAGGAGCACACCTACTGTAGGCCCTCTGCACTGAGGACTCTACCCTGTGGGCAGGCACGATCTCCTCCTTAGTGCCATGCATGGTGCCTGTCATCACATTTTCTAGTCCTGGTCATTTTTGATCCTTTCAATGAAGTTTAAATTTCATGTGGTCAAGGCAGAATCTCATTGTACTTTCTCCTCCTTTACCCGTAATAAATCTTCAATAAATATGTGGCCATGAGAAACCAGATTCCAGATTAACAAGAAGTGTTTGTTGTGAAAGCCAGTGTCTCAGCCTACTGTATATTTACTAGAAGGAAATATGCCTCCTAGTAAACCCTACTCAGAACCCTATTGTTATTTCAGATATTCATAAGTCACATGATCCTGTACTAAATAAAGCCTGATCCACTATCCTCAAACCAATTATTTAATTGAAATGGTTGGCCTGTAGTTTTGTCCTGTAGGAGAATTGAGAGAAGCAAAGCAAGTGGAAATATGCTTTGGAAGAGAAGTACTCAGTTTAGTGCACCAGAACCAGGTTCCTGGAAAGGGGTTTTGCTGACCAGGGGAGGCCTGGGGTGTACAATAGGCAGACAGGTGAGATGTCACAGGGTGAAACTGCTCACCCTACTGAGCACCCTGAGGATTCTTTAGTCAGTAATCCTTTTGCTATACCTAATTCCTGAAAGACAAGAGACCAGAAGCAGTAGTTCCTAGCATCAAGTAAATAAGTGCTAATTTCCTAAGAACCTCTCATTTGTGGAAGATTTCCTGCCTGAGCCATGGGTCACCCCCAGCATTGTGTCCTGAGGTTACACAGGTACTGGAATGCAGTCCCATGTTGGTGTGATCGGAAATTGCCTGTGCAAGGCCATCCTGATCCCTTGTGTCCTCCTCTCAATACTTTCAAACAGTGTTTACAGGGGGAGCTTGTTGCTGATGCTTTGGTTGGAGGGAAGCATAAACCCATACACATTCTGTTTGTGTTTCATGGTGATTCTTATTTCCATTAGCATGCTTGGCCAGGCCCTTATTCTTTTTGTTAATTTCTTGTATATTTTATTTTTGAGACAGGGTCTTGCTGTAGTTCAGGCTGGCCTTGAACTCACTGTGTAGCCCGGACTGGCCTCGAACTCGCAGTGATCCTCCTGTCTCAGCCTCCCGAGTGCTGGGATTATAGGTGTGCACCACCATGCCCAGCACTTGTATACTTTGAGCAGTATTATTTCCTGTCATGAAAAGAAGCTAGCTGCCAACGATGAGGTGGCTCCTCAGACAGACAGGTCTCCCCCTGGGCTCCTCCAACCTCTGCTACTGCTCTCTTTGCCCTCAAGTTTAAAGAGCCAAATTTCTGACACCACTTTACTTCTGGGACCTCGCTAGAAGTTTCCAGTGATGAACATTGTGTTTCATGCGGCATTTACCATTGAACCCCTGTCCCGACTAACAAGGTATGTTCTCTCCCCCTGCAGGCACAGAGGGTGCACAAAAGGTTTCCCAAGCCCAGCAGGGCACACCACTCCTCTGAGAAGCAGCCTTGTTCTATTCCTTCACTGAGTGCCACTGCACTGAGCCACACACTGGGCAGTGGCCAGCCAGCCCTGTGTGATGGCCTGTTCCTGGGCCCCAACCAACTGAACTTGCCTTCTGGACACCAAGAGGAATGTGCCAGACGAGCCAGAAGCACCCCAAGCCCTCCCTGGTCTTTCCCAAGAAGCAAGTCCTTATTTTGTTTGCCCACAGTGGGCCCCACCTCAGCCTCCTGCACTGAACCACAGTGGTCTTCAAACACAGGTCCCTTGGGGCAAAGGGCATACGAACATAGGCATGGCCCCCTCCTCTCCATGGATGACTTAGAGGGAGCTCAGGAGACAGATGTTGACACGGGCTTGCAGCTGTCCTCTTCAGACTTGTCTGTGGTCTCTGCATATTCTGCACCCAGTCAGTTCTGTGGCACAGGGGAGACGGCCCTCCCCTCTGAGGGATACATCAGCCACTGGTCAGCACATAAGGGTCCCAGAGCAGGACCACTGCCCACTGGCAGTGGGGGAACTGCAGAGGCTTCCTGGGCTTCTCTCCCTTTCCTAACCAAAGGGTCTTCCAGCTCCTTGGTGACAGCCATCTCTGCTCTTTCTCCTCTGGCCTCCAAGGCCCCCTCCCTCACAGAGTCATCCTCAGAGGTCCCTTGTGATGCTCCCAAAGCCACACAGACTGGTCAAGATGTGCCACCACCCCCAGCATTAGCTGATCCTAAGGATAATGACATGGAGGAGTTCTACATCTGAACATTTCTTGTTTTCTAAACACATTGAGATACACAGACTCAGGTCCCCCTACCCCTCTGCCCTCTGAACACGCTAGTGTTCTTAACTCTCAACTCCAGGGCTGTCTGGAACTTAATTATCTATTTCAGGGGGAACATTAGCACATTGGCCATGCTGCTGCTCTTAGCTGAGAGGTAGTATATTTCTAGGGACTCAGTGAAAACACTGACATTTATGCAAATAAATTCTCAACAAATTTAAGTCATAAAATATATTTTTGAATACTCAACTTGAGGCATGGTTTAGTCCCCTTATATAATTTAAATACTTCATATAATTATTTGAAATGAAAAGAAAACCCAGTCAGCCAGAGCTGATTTGGCAATTTTTCATGCTGTGAAAGAAAAGCAGTCAATGCCAAAATGTGGGAAAGATACTAAATGACTTGCACGAGAGAGTAGTGCACAATAACAGAATTACTCCTTACCAGGTTCTACAGATGCTCTTATATTTACATTACCAGTGAATAGTGGCCCCAGGAATTGACAAGTCCTGCTTATAGTGGACAAGCCAGGTGCTAAGACAGCAGTCAGAATACGTCAGACTGCAGAGCACCTCACTTTGAATTCATCAACATCTGAAAATCTGGATTTATGCAAAAGTGGCTAATGTACTTTTTAAAGATTTACCATAACAGATTCCTGGTGCACATAAAATATGATGAGTTCTAAAACCTAAATTTGTATACACCTTTCAACAACACATTCCTGTAATGAATGAAGAGCTACAGAAGACACCTCCATTCTCTGGACTGATTTGGGTCACTGAGAAAGACTCATTCTTTAGAGTTACAGAATAATATTATCTTGGCATAATAGGTAGACAGACTTAAGATTCTTTAGCTTTAAAAAGCACAATTTAAGGGCTGCATATATCTCTGTATATAAATGATAGGAGTCACATTTTATAATGCTTTCTCCAGGAAACATGCACAGCCACACCCTGTGGTTTTCATTTCGAAATGATATGGAACATTTAACTGGCATTTTGATTGCACAAATGAACAAATGTCCTCCTTCCCCAAAATGGGACACCACGCAAAATGCTCTCCTGAATGATCACTGGTGCACTGCTAGCCTGCCATGAATCACAGGAGCCTTAATTAAAGCTGGTGCTTTAGCCTGATCTTGACTTTCCCTGTCTGTTGTCTGCTTCTGTCACAGTGTGAATGGTATTGAAATTGCCTGGTAGGGGTATGTTTACAACTCCATCCTCAGCCATGTCAAGTGCTGGCATCAGGGGCAATGCCAAGCTGCCCCTGGATGCTGTTTGTCTTTGGGGAAGAACATGGATCTGCACTGTTCATTTCCCAGCATGGTGCTCCTTGTCTAAATTACTTATGGCCCAGTTTTCATTTGTCTGGTGGGGCCCACACCAGCTTGAACACAGCCCCAGAGTCCTTCCCACCTGGGCTTCCCAGGCAGCCTCAGGTCTGCCATCCTTGAAATGAGAGCCTTAGATCCTACATCCCACATCCTGGACTTCCCAAGACTTGGAATTGTAATATTGTGCGCCCATAGAAATAAATTTTTAAAAATATGGTCTTTTCTAATTCTGGACTTGAAATGAAACTTTTCCTGAAAAGGGCTATATAATATCTTAAATGTTGTCAGTCATGTTTTAAACTTTGTCAGTCTCTGTTGCACCTGCTCCCATTGTAGCATGAACAATAAAATGTAAAGCAATGGGCATGACTGAGCTGCAATAAAACTTTATTCACAAGAACGAGTGGGTGGGGACAGATTTGGCCCAAGGGAGGTAGTTAGTGGGCCAAGCCTTGAGCTAGACTACTGCCTAAAGTTAACTCAAGAGTCCAGCTGCAGTCAACAAGTCTAAGTCTGCACCCACTGCTGTGTGTGTGGAACACCAAGAAAATGGACCACTCTAGTCAAGCCAATGAATATAGAACCACAGGGTTCAGAATGGTACAGGTCATCTTTCTGAAGAGCTGATTCTTAGCTACTAGCAGTCTGCTGCCTGCCTGGAAATGTGAGTCAGAGTCAGTAGCTGATGATGAAAAGCAGCATGCTCACATTAGAAGAGAGAAACAAATAACTTATTGATGATGACATAGCCTCCAGCAGAGAGGGGAGCAAGCACATAAGTAGCAAACATTAATGAGGCAGCCGGGTGCACATACCTGCAATCCCAGCACTTTGGGAGGATGAGGCAGGAGGATAACAAGTTCACATCCTGACTGGCAACTTAGTGAGACCTTGTTCCAAAAAATAAAAAGGGGTGGGGAGGTAGCTCAGTGCAAAGGCTCTGGGCTCAATCTCTAGTGCCACAAAAAAATGGAAAAAGCCAATTAGGCCAAAATGGGTGGACCACATGCCAAGTGATGGCTTCTGGTTACATCTTCACTGGCTACCCCCATTTTGGCATATTCACATGCCCCTCTAGAATTGCTTTAGAGCCTAGACTCGTGCTCTCCACCCTCATCCTCCTCAAAGTGAAGTCCACCAAGCTGAGTGACCCAAAAGAATGTCAAAGACACCATTTGGAAGAAGGGATGATAAATGCCCCCATAAAACTAGGAAAGAAGGAAAGAGAGCCCACTAGAGACCACAATGTAGGCATTCCTGTGCTGTAGTCTGGAGGTGGCAATGCTTCTATGGAGAAGGAGCCATGAGCACACATTTAGCAGTGTTTTGGCTTCCATCTCTGGCTGCACTACTAACATGTCCCTTATGCAAAAGGGTTCACCCAGTACTGATCCTGATTAGCCATGTGATAGATGCTGGGATACTATAGGTGCTCATTAAGTTTTTTCAATTCAAAAACTCTGAGGTCATCTCAAGATCTAAGTTATTCCTCTCCTGACTTGGTTCTATGATATTGGAAGTATCAATTATGTCACTTTAATGGAAACCAATCTCTTGGCCTTGCACCCTCAACCCCCATCATTGCCTAGAGGGCTGGGTTCGTAAGTGTTTTGGTCAAGTTCACACCTCTTCCCTTATCTGCCTCTTTTCTAAATTCCTGCTGAGGGTCCTATCTTGGCCTATACTAAGCACCACCTTTAAAGAGGTACACTTTAAAGAGTAGAGAGAAACATCTGCCAGGTCACTTTGTCCCCACTGACTAGCAAACACTACAGGAGTCCTTTTGGGTCACCTCAATTGGTTAAAATGAGCAGAAGGACCATATCGGTAGGCTATGAGCCTTTTGTGACAGTGGGAGGGGTGACGTGGTAGAACAAATTGGGTTTTAGTACGGAGGATACTTGAGCCTAAAGGACAGGAGGATATCAAAGTGGAGCATTGGACCAGGTGTTTGCTATGGTTGTGAAGATTCTTCAGGGAGTATTTTCATCCCCAAGGAAATTAGGAGTAGTGCAGGCATCTTCCCATCCCCTCACTTTCTGTAAATGAACACATACTGCAAGCCATCAGCTAAGGGCACTTGAGTAGAGTCAGAGTTCCTGAAAAGAGTTTTGAGGACAAATAAGATCAAGTATAGAGGTCTGAGGGTGAAGTTCAGTAGCAGAACACTTGCCGAGCACATGTGAGACCCCAGCACAGGAAGGGAGTGGGGAGAGGGAGAAGGAGAAGGAGAGGGAGAGGGGGAGAGAACGGGAAAAAAGGCACTATGGTACCAACCACAGAGAATCCTCCCTCCCACACTCTGAGAATGGTATCATGACTAGTTCTGGCCAGTGAAGCCCAGGTCTCAATTCGAAGATAGCAATGTCTGACCAGTGACCTTCTCCTTCTTCACTCCAGGCCACGTTGCTGCATGGGCCTGGCCTGGGCATATATACCCTCCTCATCTGTCAGATTCTACTTCTCCTTAATCTTCTAGAAATACAATTGATCAGATACTGCAGAGATTTGAGAGAACACAGAGAAGTCAGCATGAAAAATGGATTACTAAAACAAATGAATTCAGGCGAGGTGAGGAACTGAAAGTAAAGATGATACATAAGTGCATTCTTGCAATTTTTACCAAAGCTTTTTCTAATTTGGGGCATAAAGGTATAATGACAAAGTGGCTTTAAATGACATAATTTCTCTGAATAGATAGTGGAGGCAAACATGAATGACAGTGTTGACATACATGGGTTGTTTTAACACCCGGTTTGTAGTTCAGAGGCAATAATGATTGTCCAGTGATGTGGCAATATTAGGAACAATATACAGTACTCATTGCAGACAGAAGCGCTAGAACATTTGGCGCAGGTTAGAAAACTCCTCCCATGCTCTCTGACAGCCTCCTGGAACTCTCCATTTGGGATGAAACTGTCACCTCCAGGTGCCTATGATGGCCTAGAAAAATGAAGCTGCTCCATAGCCCTGTGATGGCCAGCTTCCAAAGGGAGCGATCCCGGCCCACTGGAAACATTTGTGACATTTATCTTATAAGGCCACCCCGACTCCTGTTGGGTCAGCTCTGCTGTCCCTACAGGTAAGCCCAGAGTATTTTGGACTGCGTGTGGAGTAGTCCAGGATATGGTGGGCTGCACAGAAACTCAGGGCACCGCCCCACTGAAAACAGCCATGGGGAGGCTTTGGTGCCACCTGGTGGCCATTGTATCCAGGAGGCTCCCTCACTGCCCTTTTCCACTAGGAAGGTTCAGTTTATTATTTGGTGTTCAATTTTCTGTCTTGTTGATATCTATTGATGTAACCTAAATTACATTGAAAAAAGACAAGGTAAATAGTAACAAAGTTCCAGCCAAGAAAAAGGAGTCTACAGAGATGTCAATATTTAGTAAAGCAAAACACAACTGCTCTCCTGGAACTGAATGTCCTCGAAGCCAGGGCAAAAAGGGAAAGGTGCATAGCTTTGTAGCTCTAATTTAAGACTAAAGAATCTAGTGTGCACTCTCATTTCACTGTCATTTAAGTTTCCTCAATGTGGTTCCTCATAGGAAATTAAGTTTTTTGAGAGCAGATTTTTCCTTAGGGATTTTCTCCATAGGGTCACTCTTTTGGTCCAATTTGGAGGCCTCCACGCTTAGGGGATGGAATTGACAACACCGGGGGGGGGGGGAGAGAGCGGCCCATGAGTGTTGGCTGTGCCTCCTCAGATGTCCTCCAGCCACACCGTGGACAGGGCCAGGAGGAGTGACCGCTGGCAGCATGCCTGGAGGACTGACTGTCTCCAGTGATCTTGAAGTCTTCTGTCTTTAAAATCTGAAAAGCAGAGGGCAAGTGACGAGGTTGGAGTCCTGATGAGAAAATGGAGGCTCCTGGCCACTCTGCTAGCCTTTGTATATGGGGATCCCCCTTAGCGGAGCCCGTTCTGCATGCCCATCCACAATCTGCAACCACAAAGCCAACTCCAGTTGCTCATCTCCCCAGTGAGAAGAGAGTGCAGGCATTGGGCAGATAAGTTATGACCTCTCACCCCACACTCCCCTGAGACACTTGAAAACTGATAGGATTTTCATTATCAGTGGAGGACTTCTACTCTTTTTAATTCATTTCTCTGAGTGTAAGTGCTTCTTGTCACTCATTAAACAAGTAGTTACTGTGTCCCAACTATACATCAGGCAGCCAGTTAGGTGCTGGAGACACAGGATTGGATGGGAGAGACATCATCTGGGCCATTGCGACTAACTTCCTACTACCATCATTGCTATTTACCATTTACCCATAGATTTTAGAACCCTCCTGACAGATAAAATAGAATTAACCTCTGCTACAGCCACAAAGAAGAGTCTCATTTTGGCACCAAAAGACTTGGCTCTTAATTCTTGTTCTCTTACTCACTATGTGAACCAAGGGCAAGATATCTCACTTCTCTGAGCCTCAGCTCATATATAATATATATGTGCGTGTGTGTTAAAACCCAGGCCCCAGCCCTCTCAGAAGTTGCTCTGCTTCCATCCCATAACTTCAAGACCACACAGGGCTGAGTCACTCTCGTCACACCACCCCTCTGCTATTTGCCCTATTTTCATTCATCTCTCACATGCTTGAATGATGCAAACCTGCTCCAACTTCCCAAATGCCCCCAATCCCCCAGATTGCTCTGCTCAGAAGCTAATCTTGCCCTCCGTGCAATAAGGCCAGAATATTCCATTTCCTCCCGAGCTCCTTTCTTATGCTATAAGGAAGATCCTTCCTTATGCTATGACATAGGTGCAAGAAGAGACTAATGAATAGAATGAATCTATTGCCAGGGCCTTTGCCCTTGACCATGGTCTGCAGACTGAAAAATCTGTAACCTGGAAGAACCAAGGGAACTGACTTAGGCAGCAGCAAACTCTTCATCCTATTCTACTCTAAGAGTTATATCCTACTTCCTGCAAAATGAACCTCTTGTGCCGAATACAAGCTAGCTTGCTCCATGCCAGGAGCCCCGGAATCTTCCTTGGCCATGAAGCTTTGTGACTGTCTGGGCCTGCACTCATCACAGGAGCTGGTTCTGCATGCCTGCAGGGACCTCCTGGCTTCTTTGGTCAGTTTTAGAGCTCAAGGCCCTCTCCCAGCTCCTTAGCAGTGCTTTTTCTATGCAGTGTTGCCTATGCCGGGAAAAGGGAGCTGTCTGTGCGCTCAGGTACCTGGCAGCAGTGTCAGGATTGTGACCCAA